TCTTCGCTGATTGCTACTAGGTCCTCTCTCTCCCTGCTCCATGAGGTCTATCATACCTCGCCTTAAAACTATGTATGGTTCCCGCCTCCACTACATCACTTTCTAGGCTATTCCACGGCCTGACTACTCTATGACTGAAGAAATACTTCCTAACATCCCTTTGATTCATCTGAGTCTTCAACTTCCAATTGTGACCTCTTGTGTCTGTGTCCCTTCTCTGGAACATCCCGTCTTTGTCCACCTCGTCTATTCCGCGCAGTATTTTATATGTCGTTATCATGTCTCCCCTGACCCTCTTGGCCTCCAGTGTCGTCAGGCCGATTTCCCTCAACCTTTCTTCGTAGGACAATCCCCGTAGCTCTGGCACTAGTCTTGTTGCAAACCTTTGCACTTTCTCTAATTTCTTGACGTGCTTGACTAGGTGTGGATTCCAAACTGGTGCTGCATACTCCAGTATGGGCCTGACGTAAATGGTATACAGAGTCTTAAACGAATCCTTACAGAGGTATCGGAACGCTATCCGTAGGTTTGCCAGGCGCCCGTATGCTGCAGCAGTTATCTGATTGATGTGTGTGTGTGTGTGTGTGTGTGTGTGTGTGTGTGTTGTGTGTGTGGTGTGTGTGTGTGTGTGTGTTTCGTAGCTTGACTTTTATAAAAATATCACAAGACCTGTTTAACAACGTACTCAAATAACAGAGTTTCTCTCTGTACCTGGACAAGTTAACAGAACGCTGTTTTGGAGAGACAAACGGCACTACTGCCGGAAAACAAACAGTGTCATAGTTGTCTTACACATGCCACATTGTGGCCTCAAGATGACACCGCGAACTGCGACACATGGCACTTGGGAGTAAGAAGAGAGAACTTTACGACTCTAGAGACAAGGAATGAGATGGAAGATGGGCACTATACTTGCTGAAGCCATGGCAAAAAAAAAAAAAAAAAAATAAAATGGGGGGAAGGTTAAATGTTGTTGCTGCTGCTGTTACTACTATTGCCGCTCCTGTGCTGCTACTACTGCTACTACTACTACTGTTGCTGCTGCTGCTGCTACTTCCCCCGGAAGAATTTATAGGAATGATTGTCGCGGGAGTTTCTAAATGCTTCGTCTCTGCTCACTAATATTACTATATACATTGGTAGGCCATTGTAGCTAATTAGATTTACCTCAAGGGATTTATTGTATGTGTATACATATTTTTGTGCGCATGTGTATGGGTGTATGTATATGTGCAGTATGTGTATGTATGCATGTGTGTATATGTGCATATGTGAATATGTTTATACAAATTTGTGTATATATGTGCACGTGTACGCATGTATATTTGAGTATGTATATACTCAAAGGGGACAAAAGAGAGTGCAAAAATTATAGGGGGATAAGTTCGTTGAGTGTACCTGGTAAAGTGTATGGTAGAGTTATTATTGAAAGAATTAAGAATAAGACGGAGAATAGGATAGCAGATGAACAAGGAGGCTTTAGGAAAGGTAGGGGGGTGTGTGGACCAGGTGTTTACAGTGAAACACATAAGTGAACAGTATTTAGATAAGGCTAAAGAGGTCTTTTTGGCATTTATGGATTTGAAAAAGGCGTATGACAGGGTGGATAGGGGGCAATGTGGCAGATGTTGCAGGTGTATGGTGTAGGAGGTAGGTTACTGAAAGCAGTGAAGAGTTTTTACGAGGATAGTGAGGCTCAAGTTAGAGTATGTAGGAAAGAGGGAAATTATTTCCCAGTAAAAGTAGGCCTTAGACAAGGATGTGTGATGTCACCGTGGTTGTTTAATATATTTATAGATGGGGTTGTAAGAAAGTAAATGCGAGGGTCTTGGCAAGAGGCGTGGAGTTAAAAGATAAAGAATCACACATAAAGTGGGAGTTGTCACAGTTGCTCTTTGCTGATGACACTGTGCTCTTTGGAGATTCTGAAGAGAAGTTGCAGAGATTGGTGGATGAATTTGGTAGGGTATGCAAAAGAAGAAAATTAAAAGTGAATACAGGAAAGAGTAAGGTTATGAGGATAACAAAAAGATTAGGTTATGAAAGATTGGATATCAGATTGGAGGGAGAGAGTATGGAGGAGGTGAATGTATTCAGATATTTGGGAGTGGACGTGTCAGTGGATGGGTCTATGAAAGATGAGGTGAATCACAGAATTGATGAGGGGAAAAGGGTGAGTGGTGCACTTAGGAGTCTGTGGAGACAAAGAACTTTGTCCTTGGAGGCAAAGAGGGGAATGTATGAGAGTATAGTTTTACCAACGCTCTTATATGGGTGTGAAGCATGGGTGATGAATGTTGCAGCGAGAAGAAGGCTGGAGGCAGTGGAGATGTCATGTCTGAGGGCAAAGTGTGGTGTGAATATAATGCAGAGAATTCGTAGTTTGGAAGTTAGGAGGTGCGGGATTACCAAAACTGTTGTCCAGAGGGCTGAGGAAGGGTTGTTGAGGTGGTTCGGACATGCAGAGAGAATGGAGCGAAACAGAATGACTTCAAGAGTGTATCAGTCGGTAGTGGAAGGAAGGCAGGGTAGGGGTCGGCCTAGGAAAGGTTGGAGGGAGGGGGTAAAGGAGGTTTTGTGTGCGAGGGGCTTGGACTTCCCGCAGGCATGCGTGAGCGTGTTTGATAGGAGTGAATGGAGACAAATGGTTTTTAATACTTGACGTGCTGTTGGAGTGTGAGCAAAGTAACATTTATGAAGGGATTCAGGGAAACCGGCAGGCCGGACTTGAGTCCTGGAGATGGGAAGTACAGTGCCTGCACTCTGAAGGAGGGATGTTAATGTTGCAGTTTAAAAACTGTAGTGTAAAGCACCCTTCTGGCAAGACAGTGATGGAGTGAATGATGGTGAAAGTTTTTCTTTTTTTGGGCCACCCTGCCTTTGGTGGGAATCGGCCAGTGTGATAATAAAAAATAAAAAAAAATATACATAACTGTACAGGTTTATAAACCTCCGATGGAGACAACTATACAACACTCGTTGATAAGTTATAACGCAAAAGTAATACTTAGCTATGCAAAATATAACACTAAAATGCGTTAAAGAGAATCCTCCAAAAACTCTTACTACTTTTACATACATAAAAATATAGAAAATTTAAATACGCAGTTAAAAAAAATTAATGGAACCTCTTAAAAGAGCATAAAGTATGTAATTAACGAATTGATTGAAATTACCTTATTTGTAAGTGATTCGTGAATTAATTACTTATCTTTTATGTCAGCAGAGAAATCTTCAAGACAAGCTGCGTGTGTGCGTATATATATATATTATATGTATATCCTTGGTAAGAGCTTAGTTCATACACACACATATACACTGCAGTGCTGACAAGCTCCCACTACCCCTCACACACTGTCGTCTCGCTGGCGGTGGTCACTTTGTTGGCTGGTCAAGCGGACTTCAACACTATCGACTACTCAGAGGGTCGTCCAGGCTCCCTGTTGCCTGTTTGCCATCACTCAAGAATACTTTAAGCCCTAAAATTGGGATTAAAGTATACTCAGTGTATATACACTGACATACACCTCTCGGTCTTGATTACACTCATACCATGGAAACAGACGCAACACAAGAAGCAATCATCTTCTCCACATACTTGTTTAAATAAAAAACGATGTATGTCAGCTGGAATCTTGATTATCAAAGGTTCGTACAGCGCTGAGAGCTAGGATTGTATGGAGCAGATTGGAGAGTAGTGTATGTTCAGCGCCGATAGATAATTCTATGCATTGCTGATGTATAAGCATGTACAGCGATGACATATGAGTATATAGCGCTGGTAAATAAAAGTAGACAGATAATATATACCGCCGATAGATAAGATTATACAGTGGCTGTGAATCTGTCTCGGTCCTCTAAATTCTGTGCCATCTAACACATTTTTCAATGAGCATTTTTTTTTTAATTTACATGAAGAGCTAAACTGTGTAGGGTTATTCATCCGCGAGTAGCGGTAGTGGTGGATGCTCGATTATACTTCGGTTATTGACGGCCCTCTCCCTCGAGCAGTTAATCTGTCGGCTACAGTTTTGAGCTGTTCACTCCGTAATGGCATCTTCATTGTTGTTTGGGGTGAGGCGCTCAACCATTCGATTTGTTTATTTAGATTCATCCAGGCCTCTCCATGTGCGCGTGTGTTAATGCATATTTCACAATCAGTGACCTCCTTAGCCACAAGCACCTTAACCTTCCTTGCATTCACGGTCTTTATCTCTATCTCTCTCTCTCTCTGTCTCTCTGTCTCTCTGTCTCTCTCTCTCTCCCACTATTTGTTTACCACTTAACTCTCTTTCACAAGAGTGCATGTATATCTCATCTTTTCAATCGCCACTTCCCTCTCCTCCCTATTATCCTCGTATATTTAGTTCTTCTGGTTTCATTCCCTGCGTAATCTAAATCTGATGATGAGAAAAAATACATTGTAAAAAATACTGGATTATTAATATTGTCTTAAGGTCTTCAATAATTATTTTCAAAGTATGTAAAACACAAGAAAACTGTATATTTTCCCACAGTTGAATTTGTAGGTTGAGGTCTGCTATTCTACCTTTGTTTATACCAAAGCCAACCTCTGTTTACTGATTATTACCACCTAATTTGCTACCCACAACAGCCTACTAACACCCAGGTACCCTTTTCCTGCTAGATGTATAAGGACAACAGGTGTAAGGGGAATCAAACAGCATACTACCCGCAGCACTGGAGACAAAGAGACAGGCTGCAGCTAGCATTTCCTGGGACAACGTTTCGCTCTGCGTAAAGTTTCATAAAGTCATGAATTGACAGAAGCCTGTAAAGGCCTGTTCTGTTACATTTCTTACAGGTGTAGTGAGGTTGGTAGAAACGTCTCGTCCTGCCTGGGTTCACACACTTTTTTCCCTCCTCATTAAAATGTTAATTAGCATCAATAGGAAACAACAACAAAAGCAAGAATAAAACAACAAGACCAATAACAATAATAATTAATAACATTAATAATAATGTGTTCTCTCCCACAGAAATCTCTCTCTCCCGGATGCGTCCGTGTGCGTGCTCCCCAGTCATGCCTTCTGCAGTAGTAGTAGTAGCAGTTGCCCTTCTCCTGCTGCTGGCCAACCCCCCGCCCGCACTGGCCAAGCGCTTCGACTGCCAGATGTTCTGTCGCACCACCGGGTTCAATGGTATGGTTGGCGGGTGTCGCTGCTCCTTTACCCTCTTCACCGCCAAGCGCGCCGCCAGGCAAGTCACTTCCACCTATCTCTCTCTTTCTCTTTACTTATTAGGAGGTTATTTCCTTCTCTCGAGACTTACTAGGTCATTTTTTGCGTCTCTAAACTACTAGAAGGTAGCTTTCATTTCACTTGTGAATCTTTATACTCACTTCTTCACGATGTATACACACCGAGTGGTATCTCAGTGGATATATATGTATGTATAATATTATATTTATATATAAATATATATATATATATATATATATAAATATATATATATATATATATATATATATATTATATATATATATATATATAAATGCAATAAGATCACAGTAAACAGGTGATTTCAGAATATGCAAACAACCACTCTGAAAGAATAGAGAAATTCCAAGCGCTTTCGTGACTACTCACATTATCAAGGAACTAATGTGAGTAGTCACGAAAGCGCTTGGAATTTCTCTATTCTTTCAGAGTGGTTGTTTTGCATATATATATATATATATATATATATATATATATATTATATATATATATATATATATATATAATATAATATAATATATATAAATGCGTGCTTAATAGGTAAAGCTGGTCAATTAGCAAGAACTCATTTAAAATTAAGTCCCTTCTGAAATTTTCTCTTATACGTTTAAAGACATTTTTTTTTCATTAATGTTAATGTAAAAATTTATAATTTTGCACCAAAAGAATCTTAGAAAACTTACCTAACCTTATTATAACAAGCGCAATTTATTTTAGCCTAATCTAGCTAAATATATTTTAGATACGTTTACAGTAATTTAATACTAAACAAACACAATGAAATATTTTTTTTTCGTTAGGGTCAGAATAATTTTTGCGAAATTATTGCATACACAAATTTTCGCTTGTCTTATATGGCAAGATGAGCGTTGCTATTAAAGCCAAGATCGCAAGTTTTACACATTTGGCACGACATATATATATATATATAATATATATATATATATATATATATATATATATATATATATATATATATATATATATATATAATATATATACGGAGATGTGTAATCAGAGTATGTATACATCAAAGTATTTATACTCCTCCGTGTATATACAAAGAGAGGCCTGTCTTTTATTGTTGATACATCTGCTTGTGATTTGCATAATAAATTCACTGTTTATATTCTACACACATGAAAGGCAAACATGTGATTAGGAAGGCAAGAACATCTCTATGGAGCATAGCAGACAACGCCTCAAAAATCCTTGCCATTCCTACGAAGTCGACAGGATTTACTCGTAAATCCCTTCGACGCGTAAGACACTAATGTAACACTAGCGTTCCTTCTGTGCTTACAGAGACCACAACAGCGTGCCTGAAGAAGTAGATCCTTCGCTGGAAGACCCTCAGAAAGACGAAGCCCACTACTTCAGCCTCGCCGGTCTGGTACGACTGGCTCGCGAGACCCACAACAGCATACCCACGGAGGACAGCCAGCAAGACTCCACTGTCGTGGATCACTCGAAAGTTGCCGCTGCAGCCATACCCAAGAACCACCCAGCGCGTCTACTGGTCAGGACTAATGTTAGTTCAGGCACTCAGAAACCCTTCATCAGGCTTGGGCGATCTCCCTCCCAGATGCTGTTAAAACGCAAGGAGTTCGAGCAGGACCTTGATAACGGAGACACAGCCGATTATCTTAGGCTGCCCTACTAGATGTGGATATTAAGCATCATGAGATGTTTTCATACAACTTCATTCAATTAAATTATTTGTTTTGATTAGTTACAAATCCTGGCACTACAGAGGCCTGATTTATGATGCATAATCACGAAAGAGAGGTAAAAGTACCCTGTTGCAGACAAGTGTAGAGAGCCTTCCTATTTACTATCAGGTTTTGCACTGTTTCCTACAAGTAAAATATATTTTTGTTGTCTTAGAACATTTATAAGATACCTAGTGGAAAATGTACCTCGTTTATAGGCCTATCAATGTAACTTTTGCCATTTAGCCTCACATAATAAATCTGAAAATGCTTTAGGATATTTTGCTTATGGAATATGTTAATAGTTTTCCTAATTTTCCTATATTATTCGAGACTAACATCCGGATACCAACCAAAAAAAAAAATTAATACACATTCTCGCCATGATATCCAACATTTAATAAAGACACACACGACAATGGAAAAGTGATTTTACTTAGCCTTAAAAAGGTTTTTCAGATTTTGTATCAGAACAACCAAAAAATACCACATTTTTTCCAGAAAAGACTAATCTCGTATTAGAGAAAGGCTATAAGAAAGTGGCTCATCTATAATGTAATAGTCTATGGTAATAATATTTTAAAACTGTTATTAGTATAGATATGACATTTAATTTGATGTTATATATATATATATATATATATATATATATATATATATATATATATATATATATATATATATATATATATATATATATATATATATATATATATATATATATATGCAAAGGGGAATAACATTAGTTAATGCTGTAACACTAGGAGAGATGATTACTACAAAAATTAGCTAACCCAAGAGAGTCTTTGATTATCCGAGATCTGCTGTTCCCTGACCTTTCATGGTGGAGACTGAGGTAAACATTTACTGCTACTTGAAGTTAAACGGTAGAAAATGAGAGATAAACATTTACTGTTACTTGAAATTTGATGTTAGAGACTGAGGGGTAAATGTCTGCTGTTCCCTAACGGTCAATGGTAGAGACTGAGAAGTGAAATGTCTTAGACATAGCTTGGGACGAGGTCTTGCGAATTCAAGCTGATGAATAAACGTTAAAACTGTGGATATCCGCATGTCAAAGATAATATACTATTATATTCACAAAACTGTGTCACAGAAACTGTGGAAGGCAAGAAAAAAAAATTCACATTTTATGGCAGGGCCAACACATTCTCTTTTACGAATGTTTTACATATTTTATTGTATTTTTTGTGAAAATAATATAAATGTACATTAGTACCGAAAGCTAAATACCATTTCATCTTTGTAGAACCTCACCTCAACAAAATTATCCATCTCTTCATATATTTCGATTTATTGCATTGTAGCCTCGTCCCGCACTACGCGGGAACTGTTTGAATATATAAAACACACACACACACACACACACACACACACACACAATATATATATATATATATATATATATATATATATATATATATATATATATATATATATATATATATATATATATATATTGCTGTGCGAAGAATCCTCCCGGAAGTCTCTACTACCACTCCTCCCAACAGTACCCTCTTGGGAGCACCGCTGGATCACCAGGCCATCGACACTGTCCTCAGGGACAAATTGAATGACCTGATGAGAATGGAGGAGAGAATAAGCGATCTTTATGCCCTTGATGCTCTGTATCTCCTCACAAGGTGTCTTACTATGCCAAGACTCACTTCCTGAGGTGTGCACCCTCTTTTGACAACCCAACACTCGATGAATATGACGCACACCTGAGATAAACTTTTAAGGCGCTGAAACTGTCACTAGAGGATCAGCAATGGAATCAGGCAACCCTCCCAGTGCGACTGGGAGGTATAGGGGTGCGTAAGGCAACGCATGTTGCTTTACCTGCTTTTCTGTCTTCGTGTTTGGCTTCCAGTGCATTAGTCAAGAAGATAGTTCCCGAACGCTTGAGAGGCGTGGTAGGAGCTCAAGACCCCAGGTTTACTGAAGCAGTGATTCGGTGGGACACCCTTGCAGACTCCTCCAGTAGACCAGCTCCTCCCAAAGAGCACAAACAGTCCCACTGGGACAAACCGATCATGGAAAAAATCTCCCACACAATGCTCTCCAATGCTTCAGGAAAGGACAAAGCTCGTCTCCTGTCAGTGAAGGCACCACACTCAGGAGATTTCCTGTTAGCTGTTCCCAATTCCTCCCTGGGCACCCGTCTCGACCCACAGGCCATTCGGATTGGCGTTTCTCTTCGCCTAGCCGCCCCCATCCATCCTCACCGAACATAGGTGTATTTGCACCAGGGCGACAGCTGATCAATTCGGACTTCGTGGTCTCGTGTGTCACACAGCAGAAGGGAAGTATGCCAGACATGAGGAGGTCAATGACATCATAAAGAGAAGCCTCGCCACAGCCCGTTGCCCAGCTCAACGGGAACCCCAAGTACAGAGGTCTGATGGAAGTCAAAAGCGCCCTGATGGAGCCACTATGCTACCCTGGAAGGATGGAAAGCAGATTGCCTGGGACTACACCTGTGCCGCCACATTGGCAGACACCTACTTGCCATACTCCGTAGTGGAAGGGAGTGGAGCTGCCAGCCACAGGGAGGCCCAGAAGATCCGAAAATATGAAGACCTTCCCCCTTGCTATAACTTCATTCCAATAGGGTCGAGAGACCCTTGGAGCATGGGGCAAGTGTGCTCTAAAGTTCCTCAAAGAGCTGGGTGAAAAGCCCATCATAGAAACCAAGGACCACAGGGCGACCAGCTTCCTCTTTCAGAGACTCAGTGTTGCGATCCAGAGAGGAAATACCTGCAGCATTCTGGGCACGCGGCCCACCGCAGGGGAGCTGGACGAAGTATTCGAGATGTAGCTCTGAGTTACCTATGTTGTTTTACTTTCTGTTGTATTTTTATGAATGTTTGGCGAATGTATTTTGTCTTTAAATAAAACATACTTGAAATATAGGGGGTGGTAGGAGAAAATTCTCAAACAGCTTCAGGGAGAACCTTGAGTTTTTCCTGAAGCAAGTTTATTCTTTTCTCTGAGGATGAGGGTCCCTAGGACAGTTCTAGAGGTGGTACCTCCCTATATTATATATATATATATATATATATATATTATATATATATATATATATATATATATATATTTTTATATATATATATATATATATATTTATGGATTTTGGAAAAGGCGTATGCCAGGGTGGATAGGGGGGCAATGTGGCAGATGTTGCAGGTGTATGGTGTAGGAGGTAGGTTACTGAAAGCAGTGAAGAGTTTTTACGAGGATAGTGAGGCTCAAGTTAGAGTATGTAGGAAAGAGGGAAATTATTCCCCAGTAAAAGTAGGCCTTAGACAAGGATGTGTGATGTCACCGTGGTTGTTTAATATATTTATAGATGGGGTTGTAAGAGAAGTAAATGCGAGGGTCTTGGCAAGAGGCGTGGAGTTAAAAGATAAAGAATCACACATAAAGTGGGAGTTGTCACAGTTGCTCTTTGCTGATGACACTGTGCTCTTGGGAGATTCTGAAGAGAAGTTGCAGAGACTGGTGGATGAATTTGGTAGGGTGTGCAAAAGAAGAAAATTAAAAGTGAATACAGGAAAGAGTGAGGTTATGAGGATAACAAAAAGATTAGGTGATGAAAGATTGGATATCAGATTGGAGGGAGAGAGTATGGAGGAGGTGAATTTATTCAGATATTTGAGAGTGGACGTGTCAGCGGATGGCTCTATGAAAGATGAGGTGAATCATAGAATTGATGAGGGGAAAAGGGTGAGTGGTGCACTTAGGAGTCTGTGGAGACAAAGAACTTTGTCCTTGGAGGCAAAGAGGGGAATGTATGAGAGTATAGTTTTACCAACGCTCTTATATGGGTGTGAAGCATGGGTGATGAATGTTGCAGCGAGGAGAAGGCTGGAGGCAGTGGAGATGTCATGTCTGAGGGCAATGTGTGGTGTGAATATAATGCAGAGAATTCGTAATTTGGAAGTTAGGAGGAGGTGCGGGATTACCAAAACTGTTGTCCAGAGGGCTGAGGAAAGGGGTTGTTGTAGGTGGTTCGGACATGTAGAGAGAATGGAGCGAAACAGAATGACTTCAAGAGTGTATCAGTCTGTAGTGGAAGGAAGGCGGGGTAGGGGTCGGTCTAGGAAAGGTTGGAGAGAGGGGGTATAGGAGGTTTTGTGTGCGAAGGGCTTGGACTTCCAGCAGGCATGCGTGAGCGTGTTTGATAGGAGTGAATGGAGACAAATGGTTTTTAATACTTGACGTGCTGTTGGAGTGTGAGCAAAGTAACATTTATGAAGGGGTTCAGGGAAACCGGCAGGCCGGACTTGAGTCCTGGAGATGGGGAAGTACAGTGCCTGCACTCTGAAGGAGGGGTGTTAATGTTGCAGTTTAAAAACTGTAGTGTAAAGCACCCTTCTGGCAAGACAGTGATGGAGTGAATGATGGTGAAAGTTTTTCTTTTTCGGGCCACCCTGCCTTGGTGGGAATCGTCCAGTGTGATAAACTATATATATATATATATATATATATATATATATATATATATATATATATATATATATATATATATATATATATATATATCTATATAATATATATATATATATATATATATATGCAATAAGATCACAGTAAACAGGTGATTTCAGAATATGCAAAACAACCACTCTGAAAGAATAGAGAAATTCCAAGCGCTTTCGTGACTACTCACATTATCAAGGAACTATGAAAGTAAAGCATCCAAGGAAGCTATATAAGGGGTCTGGCCAGCACCTCACTATCAGATCCCACAACGGTTAAACACCTGAAACACACAACATAAATATAGCATTAGAACTGGACAAGATTCCAATGCTCTATTTATTCATGTAAGAGATTTTAACCATCCAATTGATTTTCAAAAAGTTGAGAAAGTAGTATCAAGCAAGTCCATGGTCGACAGGAATATAATTGAATCTTGTTTCATAAAAAGCAGTTTTGACAATAATATGAATATTTCCTTAGGTTTATATAAATTAGATCCATTTATAATTAATAGAATTTGGGAAGAATTTAATAATACACTGGACAAATAATTTTTAAATTTTCTTGGGTAGAATAGTTTGTGGGTGAGTTGTGCAAAGGACCTATCCAAGTTGGGTCGGCGCGCGTCAGGTGTTTAACAGTTGTGGGATCTGATAGTGAGGTGCTGGCCAGACCCCTTATATAGCTTCCTTGGATGCTTTACTTTCATAGTTCCTTGATAATGTGAGTAGTCACGAAAGCGCTTGGAATTTCTCTGTTCTTTCAGAGTGGTTGTTTTGCATATATATATATATATATATATATATATATATATATAATAATATATATATATATAATTATATATTATATATATATATATATATTATATATATATATATATGTGGGTGTGTGTGTGTGTGTAATCACCAGCAAAGTCAAACATGAGGAAATGGTTACTCAGACAAAGAATAATTACACAAAAGTAAACAAATAAGAGTTTATTGTAAAAGCTTACCATCTATGTACATCAACAAAAGGGGAACAACAACAACAACAGCGTCGCTCGTCTATACAAATTAAGAGTTGAATAACGTTGGAGGTTGTCAAGGCTTTTACATTTATCATTAAGTAGCTACGGGAAATAAATACATGAATAAATAATAACAATAAATGATTAGTAATTTCTCTGTCAGCCTGTTATGATTATTTATCGTTATAAAGGTATATTAATTTACTAAGAGAATATGTTGGCAATCAGGTGTGTTCTTCTTCACACACCTGTCCAATACCTGGCCACTTGTATTTTGCATTCCCGTGCAACAACAGTATTTCAATTTTATACACTTCATGCAGGAAATTAACAACCAAATATAATTAGTAGATTTCTGTGCACAAATTAGTTATCTTTTTTTTTCTTTTATTGGACCAAAAATATTGTGATTTTATTTGGGGGGGGTTGCCCACAAGGACTTGTTTGTCACAGAGTGATGTGGACAAAATGTTTTTTAGATATAACAATTCCTAAATTAGAAAAGAGATCTCTGTGATGGGAATGCAACCGTTGAGCTAATGATGTGGCCAGTAGCGCGATATTCTTATGAAAATTATATCAAGTCTTTGGTCTGATTTCTTGTCATGAAAAGAAAAATGTCACCCGTTTTAAAAAAGTTTCAAAATTTCGAGAGTATTTTTTTATGTAAAAAAAAAAAAAACAATAACAACTAGTCCTGTGTCCAAAAATTAGGGTCTAATATCTTAATAGTATTTTTCAAGAGTTAAGGACGTTAAGCCCTCAACAAATTCTCTTAAAACGATACTAATGAGGTAAAGTTGAGAGGTGAAGAGAGGAAAAAAAAAAAATAAACCACTTGATCTCTCCCACTCGGCAACAGCGAGTTACTGCAGTTATGACAAGTGTAAACACTGATTCATCGGAGGTTGAGCGGTGAGTGTCGTAGAAAGTAGTGAAGAGGACAGTGAAGGTCACAAGCGTGAATGAGGGAAGACTCGAATCACTCAAGAGTTACCATTGATGACATGATAAATAAATAAATGTTTAGGAACGTACTGGTAAGAGTCAATTTATTGAGCAATGTGTCCGTTTTAAAACAAGAAAAAAAACAGACTTGCATGTAAAGTATTCAAAGATCGGAGAAATGGTTTGCATTGTGTGCAATATTCAGGGGCACCGAGGTCATAACAATAGTTAATATGAAGTCTAAAATGAATTGTTACACTCTTCAAGAAGAGCTCCTGATGAATACCTACGTGGATCAGATGTGATGACTGAGGTCAGGACCAGCTGAAACCTCCAAAACAACTTTTTAATAATTAGTTAAATTAGGGAAATGTACGCAACGGTGGGTACTGATGATGAGTGACGAAAGATAAGCTTCCTCAAGACGACTTGTGCTTCAGGTAGTGACTGTGTGTGTCGCTCTCGCCGTAAGAAAGGTAGGAATCACTGCAGGAGAAAAATACAGAAGTAAATATCGATTCAAAAGCTATGGATATATATATATAATATTATATATATATATATTATATATATATTATATATATATATATATATATATATTTATTATATACATATTAATATATATATATACATATATACATATATATATATATATATATATATATATATATATATATATATATATATATATATAATATATATATATATATATATGATTGTGTGTGTGTGTGTCGTGCCGAATAGGTAAAGGTTGCGATTTTTGCTTAAATACAACGTTCTTGGGCTAAATTAAATTGTGCTTGTTATAATAAGGTTAGGTAAGTTTTCTAAGGTTCTTTTAGTACAAAATTATTAATTTTTACATTGCCATAAATAAAAAAATATACCTTTAAACGTATAAGAGAAAATTTTAGAAAGGACTTAATTTTTAATGAGTTCTTGATAAATGACCTATTCGGCACGATATATATATATATATATATATATATTATATATATATATATATATATATATATATATTATATATATATATATATATATATATATATATTTATATATATAATTGTAACTATGCAAGACAAGCTCAAGTACTTTCGCACTTCTCGGTGCGTCATCATGAACTATGCAATGTTGCAAGGCAGCAACAGAAGGAGGGGAAGTTCTAAGGGGTTAGAAAAAGCTTGGGGCTGGCTATTATATCTTCTAATTTTATACTTGACATCTCAAAAACTCTCCTACCCCATATGGGGAGTAGGGTGATGATGGCGGTGTGGGATTGGCATCGACCGTTGCCCACATTCTGAGAGAGGCTGCGGCCGATGGCACCCGCACTGCTCTACTCTGAGAAAAGCTTCCCTCCTTCTGTTGCTGCCTTGCAACATTGCATAGCTCCTGATGACGCACTGAGAGGCGCGAAAGTACTTGAGCTAAATATTTCCACCCCTCCCCCTGTGGTTTGTCTTGGATAGTTAAGATCGCCTGTCTGCGATTGTTTACAATATAATTGTAACTGTTACTATATCATTACTATACAGTATATTCATTATTTTTTTAATTAAGGAAATTAATTATAGGTAAATTAAAAACATAAAGGGGGAAATTGAACACGCACGCACACACACACAGACACACAGACACACACAGACACACATACACACACAGACACACACACACACACACACACACACACACACACACACACACATACACACACACACACACTAGGAAGTTTCAAGGCGGTGGTAGGATGTAGGTAGGATGCTGCCACCACCATCTCTACCACAATTACTACCTTGCTACACGCAAGGTAGTAATTGTGGTTATTAGTATTATACCGAGCGTGCAACTGTAGCCTCCATTATATACACCCAGATGTTTTCTTAGTGTGTGTGTGTGTGTGTGTGTGTGTGTGTGTGTGTGTGTCTTCGGTTTATGTGTATATATGTATGTGTGAGTGTCAGGAGTGTTTAATATATATACAATTATAGTGAAAAAATACATTGAGCATTATTATATTACATGAAGAAATTTTGTAAACATGATAATATGGACCAGGATGTATGGACATGCAAGGTAATTTGTTAAAAAATATAAGGAATAATATTATATATATATATATATATATATATATATATATATATTATATATATATATATTTATATATATAATATTATTCGTTATAGATAGATATATAATTCGTTACCTCTGGAATTTACTTACATATTAATAGCAGAAAATAATATTCAGAAGAAAACTTACTTTTATATAGCGTGAAGCCACGCAACCTACGGACAAGGACACACAACATACGGACAAGGACACACAACATACGGACAAGGACACACAACATACAGGTGAAAACACTCGGCAAATTTACAATGCAGCACAAATGAATAAATACAAACTAGGAAGATAGATCTTGAATAAAAGATAAAAACAGAAGGACATATTTACAAAAGAATTTCGATTGTCCAGTACGCAACGAAATTTGGACCTTTTTTTACCTGTTTGTTGTTTATGACTAAGAGGATCACTCAGTTGTTAGGAATGATAAAAAAGTAAGAGGACAAAGTTCAAGGCTATTTTGTATATATATATATATTATATTTATATATATATATATATATATATATATATATTATATATATATATATATATATATATATATATATATATATATACATGCGTTCATTTTTGCCAGTAAATTTTCTTATTATTATTGTTACTAAATTTTGGGGAAGCGCTAAAACTGTAGGGTCATACTACTAAGATTAGCCCAGTAAGGCGTCCTCTTTTAGTATTTATCTCCATCTCAAAGCTTAACTAACCTAATTAACCGCAATAAAATTTTCACTGATTTTAAACATTTTGCTGTACATTGTGTGTGTGTGTGTGTGTGTGTGTGTGTGTGTGTGTGTGTGTGTGTGTGTGTGTGTGTGTGTGTGTGTGTGTGTGTGTTTATATACAGTTCTGTGTAAGTTAGCGTTAAGTCGGGGGAAAAAATTAAGCGATAGAGTGTCAAGTGGAACGGTCATATGTAAATACGTAATAAGGTACAGAAGCACAAATACACTACAATGATGTCGTTGGTCGGGTCAGTCTGTGCGTGTCGGCAGTAGTGATGTATCGCGTCTTTTCCCCTCCCCTCGTCAGTGGTGTCCGGTCACAGAGAACACAGTCGTATACATATGTCAGTGACAAAGGGTATTCACTCATTAGTCAGAGTCACTGTCCATACCTCAGTTAGAGACACTCAGTATCTACTAGTTTATTTCAGTTAGGGACTATCTCTGCTTGAGATAGTGATGGTGATCACCATAATAATCACCGATAATGGTGCTCGGAGAGTATACTCGGTAAGTCTGATCACTGATACTGATTTTTAAATTCCACTTACTTGTTGACTACCACCTGAGTGTTAAATCCCACTTGCCTGATGACTACCATCTAATTGTTAAATCCCATTTGCCTGATGACTACCACTTGACTGTTAAATCCCACTTGCTTGTTGACTACCACCGAACTGTTAAATCCCACTTACCTGATGACTACCACCTGACTGTTAAATCCCACTTGCCTGATGACTACCACCTGATTGTTAAATCCCACTTGCCTGATGACTACCACCTGACTGTTAAATCCCACTTGCCTGATGACTACCACCTGATTGTTAAATCCCACTTGCCTGATGACTACCACCTGACTGTTAAATCCCACTTGCCTGATGACTACCACCTGATTGTTAAATCCCACTTGCCTGATGACTACCACCTGATTGTTAAATCCCACTTGCCTGATGACTACCACCTGACTGTTAAATCCCACTTGCCTGATGACTACCACCTGACTGTTAAATCCCACTTGCCTGATGACTACCACCTGACTGTTAAATCCCACTTGCTTGTTGAAAGTCCAAGTTGATTGTTGACAACATTCAAGTGGACACGGGGTCTTAACCTCTGTCTGGAAGAGGCATCCAAGGAAAAACAATAAAATGGGAAGAGAAGAAAAACTAGAAGGAAAAAGGAAGAGAGGAATTGGAGAAAAAACAATAGGAAAATATAAAGAGGTGAGGAGAAAGTGGCGTGGAAGAGAGAGAAGGACGAAGAGGAGAAAGAGCAGGATGAAGAAGGGAAAAAGAACAGACGGAAGAATAGGACAAAGAAAAAAAAGTGGAGGAAGAAGTGACTATCCCCCTCCAAAATGATGTCTCCAACATTAATATTAAGATACTGTAATCAATTATTCTCTCAAATGGTTCTAAATTTCTTCCCTCTGATCTTAGTTCTCTCTCTCTCTCTCTCTCTCTCTCTCTCTCTCTCTCTCTCTCTCTCTCTCCTCTCTCTCTCTCTCTCTCTCTCTCTCTCTCTATCTATCTATATATCTATCTATCTATCTATCCCTCACTCATCTCCACCTGTTTTCCTTCAGACTCATAATCCTACTATAATCCACCTCTCACGGTCCACTTTAATTCTGAACCACAAAACTTCTAAATTTAAATCTGTATCCCCTCTTTTGCCTTCAGTAATCTTTCATTCAGTGCTACTACAGCTCCCGTTTATGCTCTTCATCTTTCATACACACCTCACTTTATTCCTTTTCTCCTCCACATTCAAACTACCCCATGCAGTTTCGTTTCATCCTCATTTCTCCTATTTCTGTCATTACTATAAGCCCTTCTAGGAAATTTCACCCTCTGCGTTTCCCACCTCCAACAGCCTAACAAGTCAAAACTCTGGCCTCGGTTTGCAGACGGTGGCTCGAGCCTTCACCACTCCTCGCGCTGAGTCACTCACATGGGTGTAGCACCTCACATAAATAATCATTCATTAAATGCGTAATTATCATTCAGTCAATGCATAATTATTCAGTCGCTGCATAATAATAATCATTCAGCAAATGTATAATTGGGGATAATCAGCACTATATTCCCAGCATTTTCTTCCTTTTCTACCACACGTAAAGTTGCGGTGGAAGGATTTTAAAACCGATTTTTTTCTCCCATTAGGAATTAAACACAAAATATGACAAAATGATACGTGTTAGGCACCATATGTTGGAGTAAAGCTGCGTTTAAATGTAAATAGAAATTTGTAGACTTTTCCTGCCATACTAAATGGCCATTAAACATAAATGGGTGAAAATAGCACACACAAAAACACAAAACAATTAGATATTTTTTTTACATGAGCAATGCAATTATATAGGCAGACAAATACTTAGACGGACAAACAATAGCACAGAGCACGAGTGACACGAAGACCACTAAACACAAGCACAGTAACGGACGCATGGACGGACATAGCGTATTTACAAGTCGAATGCTGGAAACAAGCGTGGTGTGGGCACATGAACTGCTCTCCACCTGCTCCATCACTGGTGCTCCTGATGGGCAAAGGTTGGTATCTGCTCCATCACTGGTGCTCCTGATGGGAAAAAGTTGGTACCTGTTCCATCACTGGTGCCCCTGATGGGCAAAAGGT